ACACACACACACACACACACACACACACACACACACACACACACACACAAACACCCCTACACACACCCCCACTAGAGTGTTAGATTGTCAAGCTCTGACAACTATTTTAATTAAACAGTAGGCAAATTCAAGCTGATCCACATCTTAATGAAAAATAAGCAGCCAGAAAGAAATCCATTAAAAAACACATTAAGAAACAACCACAGACTTAAATCTTGTAGTTTTGCAACGGAAGGGAAACAGTTCCATCCGTGCCTTGAGTAACAGTATTTCCCAATTAAAAGAGACTAACATCTTTCCCCATGAGAAACTTCTCATTTACAATGGCATGGTGTTTTAAAAGGGTGGGGTAAAGGAGGAATTACACATACATGATTAAATTTCTTGTTTGTTAAATCAAGCTTTATTGATAAAATGGAATTCAGAATACCTTACTAGGAACAGCAGCAGGCCCAGCCAATCATGATAGCAAAAACGTGGCAGTCTCCTACTAGGTGTAGGAAGCTGCTGCTTATCAATTAGTAATTCAACGTAAGGACTTTTAAAAGAGGTGCAAAGAATCAAGGCATTTTAGCCCCAAGATTGATATTCTTATGAATATACTGTATTACCTGCAATACTCCTGGCAACAAGGCGAGAACAACCTAAAAGACAGTTAAATGAAGGGACCAGCTTATCAACAGTGCCAACCCCACTGCCAAGACAGTTTTCGGTTAACTCCCTGGATGTTCGGCTTTGTAGGATTTTGGAATTCTTCTCCATAATCGTGTGCACATTTGAGCATCTAGCTGACATGGCTGCTGCTCTCCCTGTCCCGACCCCAAGTCCAAACACAACATGACTTGAAAGGACTATGTATCTGTTGCATCACACAACAAGCCAAACATTTTTTGCAACTTTGATAGTGATTTAAAGCAGTTCATAATTAAATATGAGCATTTTGTACAAGGACAATTACACTTTACAAAAAACAAAAATCATACAACAAAAATTGCTGGAGTCTGATTTACAACATGAATTATGGTTTGAAATCACGTTTACGTAAGTCTCAAATTTACAAAAAAAAAAAAAAAAAAAAAAAAAAAAAAAAAAAATCAGTCCTGGGCTAGCTGTTGTACTGCTGAGTTCTCCGGTGTGATCCATTCTCACCCACGTCATACGTCCTTCTTTAAAGTTGAGGATGGATGTTTAAAAGGTTCAAGGAAGTTGAGCTGTACTCTCCTTTGGAGGTGAAGGTAAACTCCATGGCTAAATGAGCAGTTTTACCACATGTCATCAGTTGATGTAGAGTCCTTTATAAAAGGAAACAGAGCAGAACAAGGAACTACATTAAAGCTGAAAGGTGCCAAAATACATAACTTTCCGGATAATGCAGAAAGGTAAACTTTTGTAAAGTTCACATTTAGACTGCAAGTGCTTTTTAAAGTGTGTGTGTGTGTGTGTGTGTGTGTGTGTGTGTGTGTGTATGAAATATCAGTATTCAATCTGCTCAAAAAACTGTTAGCCCTTTGTTTTGTTTTGGAATAAAATATTTTAAATACAATTTTACAATGAGGTTGACCAAATGTATTTCTAAACCAGTATAATTACTAAAAAAAAATTTATTTTCTTCAGTTAAAACCCAATTTACCTCCAGAACACTACTTTATAAACTTTTACTACATAAGAGATTAAGGCTTCAAGTAACATGAGATTTAAGGAGGTGTCATAATGCAATTTCTATCTCAGAGCTGTGCCCAAATGATGGTAAGTTAGAACTGTTCTGTAAACACCACACTACAACTGAATTCTAACCCAGAAATTTAACTTGAGAATAGGACATTCTAATGTCTTTTTATAGTAGAATTCTCTACTTCAGCATTTAAATGAAGTATGTGTTTCAGGGTTCTGAAAGTATTTCCAAACATAAAAACTACTTAGTGGAGCTGAGCATTCTGATTGCAGCTGTTTATAAAACTCAGAATAATTCAAGATTCTGAGCAGAGGTATCATTTTCACCTTCAAAAAAATCACTTAGTGGAGGCAAACCTTCTGAAGCTGATTGCTTATAGAGGCTTTAAGAAACAAGAAGAATTCAAAAGGACTTTCTTTTCTGAGAGAGGTGGCCACTCACCATGATTATGTCCCCAGTCACTAGAACTGTGGTGCAGCCAGAGCTCAGAACAATCGATCAGGGGTATGTGTAAGAGAATGCGTGCAGTGAACAGCTCTGCAGAAACAGGTAGGAAGGATATGCATTTAGAGTGGAGGGAAAGGGAAAGCAGACGCGGCCAAAATGTTACTTACAGTGTCATCATTTTTGTAAGGATTCAGTCTATTGTAAACGGCTTCAATTACATTCCGCCTAAATTTAAAAAAAAATGCAGAAAGTTAATTCTTTAGAACACAGAACTTTAATAATTCAAAGTTAGGTGCTCATTAAAATGTAAAGACAATCTTAGAATTATGTTAATTCTATTTCTTACTGTCAATAGGTATCCTCACTTTATTATATATAATAAATTATTATAAGGTATTTGAGACCCAGTGTTAAACTAGAGGTGAATTTACTCTAAAATATAACATTCTACCAGCCCAATTAATAGAAGACTAAAAGTCATGGTTTAAAAAAAAAAAAAAAAATCAGTCCATATATGGTCTACTTCATTTGAACTGGCTTATGTGGTTATGAGTCAGCAATGATGATGCAGTTTTAAGATCTAATACTAATCTATACTCTTCTTAAGAACTGAACGTTAGTTTTGAAGTAGAAGTTTGTTTCAACAACTGTTGTGGTAAAATAATTTAGATAAATTTTACATTTAAATTTGTTTTTTTCTAATGCCCCCTTTAAAAAACTCTATTAAAGCTAAAATGTCAAATATGACATTTCCCTGCCAAGTCTAAGACATTCTGAATAACATTTTATTAAAACAAGCTGTAGTGGTATTTGTAAGTTATAGCCTCCCCTACTTCCAAAATAGATTTGAAGCAATTTCATAGACAGTCATTTCACAGAAGGTCATACTGATGAAAAGATTTCCAAGAAATAAAACCTTCAAATAGGAATTTTAACAATTACTAGAGAAATGATTATAAAGAACATAGTAGGGAATCAAGGAAATTGTCAATATTATCTTTGTAGGTCCATTATATGGATATCAGAGGTAAAAATGTTTGAATTATAAAATTTTTTTTGAATTATAAAATTTCTTAAAGTCTCCACTTTAGTTTATAAAGATATAAAGCTTAATATCTGACAAAAATTAGTCCAGTTCTATGATCTGAAATGCACACATAAAAAGGCAACAAATGCATCCCCCTATCTTCCCTCATAACAAAATCCAACCAACCAGGAATCAACAACCAAAAACACTGGGAAAATCAGAGATGTAGAAAAATGGCCTAGATGGAGGAAGAGAAAGACGCTCATCCCCGGGGTACTCAAATTTGACTGACAAAATCAAATTAAAATCATAGCAATTAAAAACAACAATCAGAATTTTGTAGTGCTGCGTAATTTAGCTTCAAAAATTGTTTCATTGTGTTAATTTACTCATCCTATAACCCAAGCCTTTGCTAAAGACAGCCTTCAGTGTAATGAGTTACACACAGTGACATTCTGACACCTATTCTAAATGTGCATCATGTATCATTAATAGTGAAAAACACTGAACCACAGGCTAAACATTTTGAAAACATTAAACATTTTGAAAACATTAGAAATTAGGTAAGTACACATCTGATCAATGAACACCTTACATTTTTATGTACTGAGATAAATTATTAAGAGTACTCAGAATGTAACTTACTTGCTTGCCAATTCACCCCCTGGTGGGAGGCTGGGGATGTTCTCACTTGCTAATGTGCGCATCACATGGACTAAGTCAGGGACGCCTTCCCCCTGCTTCTTTATGATTTCTGGGGATCAGAAGTACTTTTTTTGTAAGTGTTGTCCAAATTTAATTAAAAAAAAAAAAACTGAAACAAAGATAACTTAGGTTTTTAAAGATGGCATTTACCACATCTGAGATTTTCTAAGCTGGTATTAGAAAAAAAAATCAAGTTGACCTTTGAAAATTTATGACAAAGGGATGCAAAAAATGATACAACAAATAAGATACTTTCCAGATTAACTTCAAAGAATGAAAATAAACAGGATAAAAATGTGAAAAAAATTTCGTATTAAAATCAATGTATTTATTACATGATCAAGGATATGGGTATACAAATGAGAATATTCTTAAAATGCCAAACTAGTTACTTTTGAGGATATCAACTCCTCTCTTTAGACTAGAAAGAAACATGTTTCCTGAATTTTGCACAGATTAAAAAAAAATAACAATTTCAAAATTTGAATGGAAAAAAAAACTCCTTTAAGTATAAGGGAATTTTTTTATTATATACTAACCAAATCATTTTTACGTATGTTTATATTCGCAAAGTGATACTTAAGTAGCATGTGCAGGTTAGGTTATATAACTGAATACCACTCACAGCTTGATTTTTGTCTGAAATATCTTTAACAGTGAATAGATACGTAACACTTAAAATTAATTTCAAAACATCCAGTTATTAAATGGGGATAGTGATATGATCTGCAGTGTTGCCACAGAGATGCATACTGTCATTCATACCACTGAACACCAACAATTATGTACAACCAACTTAAAGAATTCTCAAACTGTCAAGTATAAGAAGTCTTTACTTGGAGTTTTAGCATATTTCTTCTAAATGCAAGATCATAACAAAGGTATTTGTAATTTAAAAGTTCAAGTTTTGCTCAATTATCTGCTTTCAAGTGTTTATTCTAAGAAATTCTCTTTGTCATCATTAGGGCAAGAAAATTATCATTCTAGTTCTCAAATTGTAAATACCTTTGAAAATTACAATGCATATAAAGATCTTCCATCCTTCGATCAAGTCTCAAAATATCAATTCCTCATTAAAGCCACATATTAAAAGACAGACAGTGCTACCCATATTTCTTTAAATGGCTCAAATTGTCCTTTTGGAATTAAGGCCGAATTTTACCATGATTTTTTTTTTTTTGGTATTTTTTTTTTAAAAACCAGTCTTAAATCGAACAAAAAGCAAGGATCTCAGATTTGGTTTGCCAAGTTCCTTTATTGTATAATCTTTAACATCTAGTATTCTACATGGTTCTAATGCTGGAAATCTGCTGTACAAAAATAAAGGGTTTTGATGTTTACCTAAGCTGCACAATTTCACAATCTAAAGCTGTAATACACTTAACATACAGTCTCTGCTAAGCCAATACAATTATTGGATAGATAACTAAATACAACAGAAATGAACACTGATGAGAAATTTAATCAATGAGAGTATCAGGTCTAAAAAACATTACCTTGATTCATCTATATTTGATGTATCTTACATCTCCTTTATTAAAATATATATTAGGGTATTTTAATTGTGAAGAAAATTACAGGAAGACAAACTCTTTAAAAAAAATTAATGTAAGGCTTTAAAAACAGTTAATATCTCTTATTCCACACGGGACAATACATTTAAACTGTCTTACCATTAACACTACACTAGCATTGCTTCTTCTGCTTTTAAAAAGGAAAACAAGATGAATTTTATGAAATACTTCTTTAATTGCTCTTGGGCTATACATTAATTAGAACTGTAAAAAGACTGAATGCTTTTACTAAAGAATATATGTATAGAAGATCTGTTTCCCATACTCACATATAAACACATTCTGCTCTTCCCTAATCCCCTCCACACCGCGTCTGAGGGATCCTATCAGTTATCTCCAAATTAGCAACTTTAAAGCTTGGGTAGTCAACAGAAAAGATTTTAAAAGTATATATGTACAGGTACAATCTTAAATTGGCTTAGATGGACCACAACCTTAAGTGATATAGTTTAAATTATGAGCTGTGTCTTTTTATCACAACCCTAGAGAGTCAAGTATTTTGAAGGGCACAGGTAATAGGAGAGTTAAAAAGGCTTTCCTCTTTTCTGTGGCATGGACAGAGAAGCCAGAAGTATTCAAAGCAAATAAAAGGAGGTTTAGTAGGTCACAGCAATTTTGAAGCCAGGTATTTAAACAAATAAAGAAAAAAAGAAAGAAAGAAATGTTCAGTGCCTGTTCTGGAAGCTGAATGTAGTATTTTTTACTTAGAACAACTTTTGCAATGTAAATAGTTACATTCTATGTTTTAAAATACAGTAGCATCTTAATTAACGTAGTATTTATTTTCTAGTTGCAGTCTTATCAAACCTACCTCAATAAAGAATATGAAATTTGATTTGTGACATAATAATCTCAGATTGAATGATACAAGTATAATATTTCAACATATCAAAAATATTGAGATTGATGTAAACTCTGTTCAGGTAGCAAATTCTTCCTTGATAAAAAGCAATATAAAACTTAATACTGTAACATAAAATTATGTATCTAAAGCAATTATTTAGAATTGCACCAAAAACTTAAAGAGTGTACACTAAAGAGAAAAGCTGTAATTCATTTCTAAAATGTGATCCTGTTTCATAGTAAATAAAACTAAAGTACTTATTCATTAAATCAATAAGAAAACACATACCCAAGTTACTTTTTTTTTTTAAACCCATTACTTTAAAGTGCCAATAAACCACATACCAATTTATCCCAATACATATTCTTACTGTTTCATTTTTCCACTAGCCAGCAGTCTGAACCAATGTGATATGACTTGGTAGCATTCTAAATATTTTACTGTATTATAAATAAATAACATATCAAAATGATTTTTTTTAAAATATAAAAATTCCAAGAGCCTTGGGTAATAGTGAGAAAACAAACTTAGTGGATAGTATGTCCAATGAGTGAAATACTAAACAGTTCATACGCATACTAGATATATCACTATCAAGTGGGGGAGAGCAATAAAAACAAAATAGCAGCTCTAGATAGTACTGAAAGTCAAAACCAATCATGATTCTAATAGCAGACTGATTATAATTGATATCAAACAGTAAAAAGGGAGAAAACAAAATTAAAGTGCATATTAATTTTAATAATGCAGGCACAGCAGGATATAATAGTGTGTAGGTCAATGCTTACATGCTATTAGATCTTTAACGTGCAAATTCATGACATTAGGAGCCCAAAATGCATTTTAATGCTATCATAGGCATGTCAAGTTTTTCTGCTTAAAAGAAACTGCATAATCTACAAGCTTATTGCATATATGCAGCCAAATGGAATTTTCTGGGGAAACTCAGCGTTTAAAGCAGTAGCTTCATAAAAGGTCGGTTATATTTTTTCAAATATTTAAAGGCATTACACTTGGGAGTTACAAACATCTTTCTAGTTGTCTCAAAGTAATTTGCAGAATTATGACAAATATATTCCTGAAATTCCCAACTTATTTCTTGCTTTTATTCAGCATTTGTATTTCTGCCAAGTAGAAACCTAGTGTATCTTCTATTCAGGTCTATGTTGTCTTGGTGAGGAAGTTTATGGCTTAGTCAAGAAGCCTTGAAAACCGTTTAAATAAATTTTTAAAAGCTGTGGCACATGGAAGTTCCTAATAACCAGGCTGTAATCTTCAAGTTATTAAAAAAAAATCCTAAAGACCTTAAATTCATACACATAGCTTTACACAGAAAGATGGTATTCATATTATCACCATCATAAATAAACTATTTATAATTAAATAAACCACAAATCAGACTTTCCTGGCATAAAACTACACATGCCAGTGAATTCATCAAGAATTTTAAAGCATACAAACACTTTTTAGCCTTTTTAAACAAAAGTATCCTGAACAGAATGTACAGGGTCACACTAGTTCTTATTTCTAATATAACCATAATAGGACGATCAAAAACATCTGAACAGTTACTACAGAAATGCCCTTTCCCACTTTTGTACACTGAACACTAGATGTCAAAGGCATGTAAAGACCTAAAAGCTAAAATACTAAAGTTTGATTGTGTTGAGGTTTTTCTTTAATAAAGCTACTTATTTTTTGTTAAATGATCCACCTTCTACTCTGCTTTCCAGGTACTTGTCCAATTCTGCCTCCTTCTTCACTGCTTCTGGTGATACTTTGGGTGCATTTGGAAAACAGATCAATATCACACTCATGTTGTCTCGACTTCCCTGGGAAGAAAAAAGTTGGAGAAATATTATGCTTTCTTCTTGCTCTTTAAAGCCCTGAAAACTTTTACAGCCATGACAATTTTAATTATACTTTTTCTAGTAATGACATATATATATATACACATATATATGTATGTATGTATGTGTGTATATATATGTATGTGTGTGTGTGTGTATATATATATATGTTGTTTTTAAGGAGGAAAAAATATGCATATGTGGAGAGGCACCCCCCTCCCCCAAACACATACTGTGTATGGTATACAGTATAACCAACACTCCAAAAGATAGGAGAAGCACTACATGAATAAAAAAAATTAAAAAAAAAAAAAACAACATAAAAAAAAAATGATTGTTACAAATTGTAACAATCATTTTATTTTTAAATTGTACATTTAAAATGTACAATCATTTGTAACAATCATTTTATTTTTAAATGCTATAAAACAAAAATACTACCAAACATTTACTGGTGGCCTACTTAATTTGAAGATACCTAACACAAATACACACACACACACACACTCTCACTCAATCAATAAAACAGAAAATTCCAGAGGATCTGACCTATAGTTACATGTATACTCAACAAATTTATATTTAAAATAAATTTGGAAGCCAATTAATTTGCTTCATAATAAATATAAATATGGAATTAGTAGTAAAACTAAATATATATAATTTAAAAACCAGTTTTTTAACTTTCATAATTAAAAAAATGGCTTTTTAGGAAGTACATTCATTTTCAAAGACATCTATTCAAAATACTGTAATTAAAATACTTGAATCAATGTTAGCCTCCTCATATTCTCCTCCCTATTAGGAATTAGAGTTAACTTTTACATATTATGTATTTGATTCCTCAATATGGGAAAACTGACCTTATACCGTTTTAAGCAAACCATACAAAGAATTTAATATCAAAAAGAATCTTGGAGAAAAAACAGTATAAAATGTGGCAAGTGATAGGGTACTGAATAATTTTTTTAAATGGAGAATGCAGACAAGATAAAGTATTAGCTGAGTCAAAACTGACTAGTGTCTCAACGTGACAACTCTCTCCAAGAAAACAGCTTTTAATCTAGCCAACAACTATTTAGTTCTCAAGAGCTACAGAATAAGGCCAATAAATAGATACTACTTTTATGCGCACTAAAAGGGACAAAGAGCACAGGCACCACTGTTCAGCTCTCCTCAAATTCAGCAATCAATAGTTTGCACTATTAAGTCCTTGCTCTATTGTTTTTTTTTAAACCTATGTGCTGGATGTTACATAAACTTGATTTGTTACATAAACCTGATTTCTAAGTACAATCAGATTTTTAATTAATATTTTAAGTAGAGCTGGCAGTATGCTTATAATACTACAAAGAACAGTAAGATGACTTTCTATTTCTGCACGTTGAGAGAAAATCAAATATGCAGTCTCAGAAGAGTTTTACAAAATCAACATTTGTTAGAGGAAAAGAAAGAAAATCAAAGAACAAGTTAATGAACAGTACGGACAAAAAATTTAATTTCTCAGTAGTCCTGTGAGTTAGCTACTATTAGCTCCATTCAATAGCTGAGAGAGGTCAAACAATTTGAGACTGTGGAGTACAAAAGAGACAGAGGTAAGCCTGACTCAAGGCTGGCCTCTTCAGTCTGCTTCCTCTTGCTTCAGCTTCCACATCTGTAAGATAAAGGGGCTGAGCTGGCTCATCTACGTACATGACCCCTTTGATCATCCCAACAACCCCATGAGACAGGGGGATAACATCTCTTACCTTTTTTACAGTTACAGAAACTGATTTTCCAGACAGCTTAAATAGCTTACCTGAAGTCATACTCAGTCTCATACTCAGTCTCATACCAAGTTCTTCTGATTCCACGTTCAAGGCTATTTTTATTACATCAAACCAAGTGATCACTAAATTCTCTTTGATGCTGCTACAGATTGATTAGACTATAGTCTCAAAGTACTTCCATGAATGTATGGAGATATCATATGATAAAAATAAAATATTAAAATTCTAAAATGCTTTCCATTTATTAGACACAAAGGCCTAACCTTCCCCCATGCCTTTCCTTTTAAGACATGCACTCTGATATAGTTTTTCTGCCTTTGATAATCTCCCACAATATTAAAAAGCTGAGGTAGTCATGGTTACTAAAAGACCATTTAGATTATAATTCTTGCATACTGGGTAATTTCTTTCTTAAAAAAGTCCCTAAATTTTCATAATTGGTAAAGAGTATCCTACAACTTTGTGCCAAGAATTTATTTCTGAGAACTAGTTTCTATAATGATTAAATACTAGAGTAATAGTTAAGATGACATAAAACCATTTTTATCTCTTAAAAAAAAGTCTAACTACCTTATACAAACAGGTGTCGACTACTTCATTGCAAACTTTCTCAAGGTCATCAGTGACTTCAAGTCTGGATCTTACAAAATCACAGAGCTCTTCATTTCCCATAACATCCCAAATACCATCACATGCAAGGATAATGAACTGATCATCTTCTTCAGATCTTTCAATATCATGGACTTCAGGCTCTGGTGAGACAAGCTGCTCTGTAGGACCTTTTCCATGGACACATTTGTAATCAAAGTCCCCAAGGGCCCTCGATACAGCCAGAGAGCCATTCACACGCTGAATCATGACAGAACCACCTGCATTCTGAATTCGTTCTTTTTCCAGCGGATTACTTGGTTTGTGATCTTGTGTGAAGAAGTGAACTTTCCTGTTTCTACAAAGTAAACCTCTCGAGTCTCCACAGTTAATGAAATAAGTATGTTGAGGAGAAATTAAGACACCCACAGCTGTTGACCCACTTCTATCTGCACCATGTTTCTTCTCTGACATAACTCTCATGTGTTCATCAATCTCCAGAAAACCTGTTCTGATTCCATTCTTTACATTTTCCACAGAAGGTGCTCCTGCAGACCCTTTAAAATCCTGGTTATTGGTGATGTGATCTAACAAATGCTCACAGCAGTATTTGGCAACCTGAGAACCAGCATGCCCATCATACACAGCAAAGAATGACCATGTTTCAAGTCCACTTGGCAAACCGATCACAGCCGTATGTGCATCCTCCATTTCAACTCGCCAACCTTGCATGCTGCTTAGCCCATACCGCAACCCATTACCCTGCCCCTGGGCGTTATGTTTTTCCATCTTTGGCTTGTCTAAAAATGCTCCCATTATGTCGTGATATTCTAGGTCTGCAAAAGAAGAGAAACAGGAAAGTTAATAACTATCTTATATACAAAATACAGATCCAACAATATTTTTAAGAGTGAAGAAGATACAAAGAAAGCTTTAAATAAGAAGTCACAACTCTTGGGACGCCTGGGTGGCTCAGTTGGTTAAGCAGCTGCCTTCGGCTCAGGTCATGATCCCAGCGTCCTGGGATCGAGTCCCACATTGGGCTCCTTGCTCATCAGGGAGCCTGCTTCTCCCTCTGCCTCTGCCTGCCATTCTGTCTGCCTGTGCTTGCTCTCTCTCCCTCTCTCTCTCTGACAAATAAATAAATAAAATCTCAAAAAAAAAAAAAAAAAAAAAGAAGTCACAACTCTTATAAGCAGACACTCCTTGTGTTGCTGACTTGGAACCTAGAGATTAATAAGAAAGAACTGGAGAAGAGGCTGATCAGGCAGAGGTTAGAATGAACAACAGGCAGAGAGAACTAAAGCATCAGAATAAAAGTAGCTGACCTGACACTCCCCCACCAGGCACAACCACCTCAGGCAGAAAGGAGACTGGCAGTGGCCATCAGCTTACATGAACCAGGCCAAGTGTTTCAAGATGCAATGAGTATGTGAATCTCTTAGGGAATCTCAGACCTAAATTATATGTGTATGTTAATCCAGAAAAAGCCCAATGAATTCATAACATACCAAAAGCCTACTAATTCAAACATCTTGGTTGAACATTTAGGATTTTCCAGTTTTATTCTGAACTACCTAGAGTTTTATTGCTACTACATGAACCCTCTGAGAAAGTAAAAAATGACCTACTCACAATGATCCAAATTTGCACACTCATTCCTTTAAGCCTTTGCTCATGTCAGTCCCCTTAACTGGAATCCCCTGTCTCTCCTCCCTACTTACAGAAAAATGTATATCCATCCTTTAAAGTCTAGTTCAAATTCTACCTTCTCCACAGGTTTTTTTTGTCTCTGACAAAGCCATTAAGTTATTAAATTATCACAAGGAGTACAACCTCAATTATCAAGTTGTAAAGCAATTATACATAAATACAACAGTGCTTATTACATAAAACAAAGCCAGCCTATTGTGATCTACTGATGCCCTATTACTTTAGCAGTTATAACATGTATATTTATTATTAGTATATGCTATGACCATTAGGTATTAATAGTAAAGGAGACTAGAGGGCCTAGAAACAGCCATGTGGACAAGGATTAGCTAATGTAATCCTTTCCCAATAATCGAAAGCTAAAAACTCTGGTCTGAAATGGGCCCACACAACGCAGGGGGACAGTTGGTTAGAACTTAGGTTGACCTTTACTTGAGCAATAGCCTAGGAATGTAGAGACGTGGGATACAAATCATCAAATAAGTCACAACTGAACTCAAACCAAACTGAAAGAAGGCTAGAATTAAATTTAATGGAGGTAAAGTGGGGAGGCAAAATAGGGCTTAGGTAAAAGTACCTAGGTAAATCAGGATGCAGTTATGAAACTAAGGGATTGATGATGCTAATTGATGATGATGCTAATTGATGATGATGCTAAGCTTTGAGAAGAAGTTGGGAGAGAAAAGGTTAAGAAAAACTCCTTAGGAAGGTCACAGTGTCCCAATAGCCTTTCCCCCCCTTCTTCTCCTACCAGGGCCAAACCTATAGACAGGAGAGAAGTCTGTCTGATTAGTGTGATAAAACAATCTTCCCTCTGTCCCCTATTACAACTCCACTAATGAAGATAAATAAGGAAAACTAGTCATCATTTACTCCTTATGGCAGTATTCATCAGATTACCAGATACCAAGTTGATATACATTATTATGACAAGAGTGCTTTGACTGGACAAAGGAATAACATAATGATAGTAACTTAATAGCAGACAATGTTTAATAAGTCTAAATCATTCATTCTGAACAACCCTCTAAAGTGAGTAATAATATCTTCAATTTGTAGATGAATCTCAGTGAGACTAAAGAATGGCCAAGGTAACTCAACTGATAAATTTAGAGGAATCAAGACTCTAATTCAAGCCTCTCTGAATCTAAAGCACCATTTACTACTAAGGCAATGGTCTTGATCATGGATATACAAAAGGATTATTCATGGACTTTTTGAAAAATTACAATTAACAAATCAGAATTTCCAAGGTAGGGCTGGAACCAAGGCACCTGCGTATCTGTAAAAAAGATTAGATGAGATGCCTAGATAAGTACATCTAGATGGCTAGATGATGACTGAGCCATTGTGAAGTCATCTGCTGAAGGTCAACAGCAATTTGCCTCATCTCTGTACCTCAATTCCTTTAGCCAGGCTAAAGGGAAGGAGAGAGATATAGTTAAGATGCTTGATAATCTAGCATTCCTCGTCTGTACAATGAACATATTTATACTTACCTCTGAATGTTGCTTCAAGATTTAAATGAGGTAGGCAAAAATAAGGTATTCAGCGAACTATTTAATTATTACTACATTCCTACATATATAGCTACATTAGATTCTGGTATTATCTAACAGGGAATTTACTTTCTTTTGCAGAAAAGCCCAGTAGCTATTTTCCAGATGGACATATAAAACTACCAAATAAATAATTATTTGAAGACAGGGTAAAATTTCTAAAAACAAAACCCAAACTTTTGAAAAATATGTATTAGAGATGTGAAAATGTAACAAACCAAGCCAGCCATCTGATAAAATTTTAGGTCCAGCCCATAGCAAATATAAAAATATACATCAAAGACAAATTAGTAATTTAGTGGTTGGACTTTCACATAGTGAAAATAGACAATTCAGAAATCTTACCTCCTGGGATTCTGAATAATTTGTAGAATCCTAGTGAAGCAGCCAACAATAGCTACATAAATACAGCAGATGGTTATGTAAATATAATACCAGAAATTACTTACTTATAAATACTATGTTTACATAGTCATTGTCCAGAAGTGGACTACTAATTATGTAGTCAAATTATTAAATTGGCATCTATCTATAAATAGTAAATCCCAAGGGGTTTAATTTGCCCAAGAAAGCTTAATCTAGTTTCTGAGAGAAATTCTAGTTCTTGCATTGTCTAAAATCTCCTCTGAGCACATGCTGGATGGATCTCACCACAACACTAGCTTATCAGTTGATCTGAACTTTTCAAAACAAAATACTATGACAATCACAAGACTGAACTCCTCTTTGATATAAGCAGAAATTTTGGTGAATACTTTTTGTCTTTGAAAACCAAACTAACTCCTAAATTGAAAAATTCTAAGGCTGGGCCAAGAAGTCATTCATTAAAATTCAGCCATTGGCTTTTATTAAGCAAAATTGATCTCATAATCATAGCAGAAAGTCTTAAACCTGTTATTTGGTTAATCTGCTTATAAATCCCCCCAATAAAAGATCTATATATTCAACAAATTAGCCCAGAAATAAGAGTTACTCAAGTGACAGTTTGAGCAGTCTCCTAGTAAAAAAAGAACTCAGGAATAAAACCATGTAAGGCTTTTTTCTGTTTACCTATGGGGACACAAGCTAATACAGAACTCCTCCAGGGTCCACAAACAGAGGACAAAATAAGACATGTAAACAATGTGGAGAAATTATATTTTAAAGATTAGGGGGAACTGGGGGGGACTATATAAAAGAGAGACTGGGGCTCCTTGGGAAAGAGGGGGAAAATGGAACAATACACAACAGTGTACACAATATGGCAAATTCAAGTCATCTGCAGTGGGATGTGAGATGTAAACTCTCCACTGCTACCAAATATTTAGCGTATTCTACCCTGCCCACTAATGCTTATATGTGAACGGACTTTGTCAAACATGAAGACAAATGTTCACCTGACCTCTAAAATGCACATTTACTGAACGATAGGCTTTGTAAGTTGTTGCTGTTTTTTTTTTTAAGATTTATTTGGTACAGAGAGCGAGCTAGCAAGAGAGACAGCTAGCAAGAGAGCACAAGCAGAGGGAGAAGCAGGCTCCCTGCCAAGCAAGGAGCCCCATGTGGGCTGGAGTCCTGGGATCACGTCCTGAGCTGAAGGCAGACTGACTGAGCCACCCAGGTGCCCCCTGAATTACAGGATTTAACCAATATACTGCAAAGCTAGGGTTCAGTGAAGAAACACAGACCCCTTGTGGCCGAATCTCTGCAAAGGATAATTTAGAATACACAAACTACTTTTGACTTCCCAAGCTTTAAGACATGGTAATTCATAAATTGTATTTTGTAATCCAAGGCAGCCACGTCATAGTTATTTATGGTAATGACAAATAAGTGCATCGACAAAACTTTATACCAATTTGAGAAAGGAAAAAGGCGAATCTTTGGGTAATTTTTCTCTCATTTGAGTCTGAAATTTCTCATTGACCTTTATTAAAAAAAAAAATGATTATACAGGGGTACCTGGGTGGAGCAACTGGTGAAGCATCTGACTCGATTTCAGCTCAGGTCATGATCTCAGGGTCCTGAGCCCTGCGCTTAAGACGCTCTCTCTCCCTCTCCCCTTGCCCTCCTCTCTCTCTTTAAAAAAAAAAAAAAAAAAAAAGATTACACGTATTTATATTTACAAATTTAATTTTGATTAACTTGTAAAACACATCAGAGCCAAAATGTAGAAATGGTCTGTCTAAATCTATTTTACAAATGAGAAAGCACACATTTGCTGAAGGTCACAAAGCTGGTTCTACAGTAAAAACTGAGAAGAGGAACCTATGTTTCTGGAACTTTACTGCAATTCTATAAATCCTGTCCTGTGTACTTACTTGCAAATGAAGTTAATGGGAATCTAAAAACAGGCTTTTTAAAGGCCACACATAAGTAGGGAAGATTGTCAGAGAACAATGCTGAAACTCCCTTAAGAGCCCTTTTTTCCTCTGCCTACTCTAACTTCTTTTCTAAATTTCTATACTGCCAAAGATAAAGGATGAAAAAGAAGGAAAGGTAAAGAGAAAAGGGAAAAAAACAATAAATCTAAACTTTGCTTTTTGTCTGGGACTGAGGGAAAAACCAGAGTGAACAATTTCTGG